TTAGTGAAGGGGATTTATGAAGGAAATGTTTATTTTCCTTTTACTGATTGAGAAAAAGGGGAATTAATTAAAAAAAGGGAATTTCCAGCTTTCACGGCTTATATTTATAAGGAAAATAAACAAAAAATTTTGCCATAAGGCAAAAAATAGGTAGGAATATTTTCGAATAAATGTAAATATGAAAACAAAATTATCTGGTTGGGCTAATAAATCTTTCTAATTTAAAATTTCTTTGGCGAGAAATGGTTAATAATTGGCTTTTTTCCCGAGACGAATTGACAAAAGTTAAGGCTTTGCCGCTGGCTCCGGCTCGGCCTGTTCGTCCTGTTCGGTGAATATAAAATTCCCGATTTTGAGGAAAATCATAATTAATGACGCAAGAAATATCTTTAATATCCAGACCCCGCGCAGCTACGTCGGTAGCAATTAACAAAGAAATCTTTTTTGCCCGAAATTTCTGAAAAACGCGGGTGCGGCGATTTTGGGATAAATCACTATGAATATAGTCAACTCTTAATTTCTTGTCAAGCAAAATGTTTTTAATTTCTTCAACTTTTCTTTTGGTGTTGGCAAAAACGATTACGGAATTGGACTGGTTAGCAGAGAGAAAGTTAACTAAATCGCGGTCTTTTTGCCGTCAGGAAGCCGTTTCTAGATAATAATGCTTGGTTTTGCTAGGCAAATCGTTGGTAGGGCTGGTGATAAGAATGGGCTCACGAGCGAAGCGGCGAGCAAATCTTTCTACTTCCGGAGTAATAGTTGCCGAGAAAAGTAGGGTTTGGCGACTCGACGGAGTTTGGCGAATTATTTTCTCAATATCTTCTAAAAATCCTTTGCTAATCATTTCGTCCACTTCGTCCAGAACAACAAATTTTAGTTGGTCCAGCCGGAAACTTTGACGCGTAAAAATGTGGTCGATGATTCGGCCAGGAGTCCCTACTACTAAATCAACGCCCCGACGAAAAGCCTGTAATTGTTGGTAAATTGGTGCACCGCCATAAACCGCCGCCACTTGTAAATTGGTGTGAGGAGATAATTTTCGTGCCTCCTCACTTACTTGTAAAGCCAATTCACGAGTAGGGACTAGCACTAGCACTTGTGGCTTGTGAATTGCGGTTAATTTCTCTAAAATAGGGATTAAGAAAGCGGCCGTCTTGCCGGTTCCCGTTTGAGATTGAGCAATAATATCTTGCCCTGCCAATATTGGAGGAATAGTTTTTAATTGAATATCGGTTAATTGGCGATAGCCAGCCCGGTGCAAATTATTTTTTGTTTTTTCTGATAAAGTTGTTTTTTCTAGATTCATTATTAATATTAATTATTTTAATCAAATTTTCTTTTGGTAAAGGTTAAAATGTTTGAAGGCTTTAGAATATCTACGCAATTTCAGAACGACCTTTTTTTATAACTTTTCTGTCGGAGGAAATCTTTTATTCAAATAAAAACTCAACATTTGGATATCAGTCGGATTAACTCCTCCTATTCGTCGAGCTTGACCGAGAGAAATCGGCTTGATTTTGGTTAATTTTTCGCGAGCCTCTTTGGCTAAATTATCGACTTGGTAGTAATCGATATGAGGAGGAATTCTTCTGGCTTCGTATTGACTCAATTCTTTTGCCTCTTGCAATTGGTTGGCAATCTGTTTTTCATATTTAATATTAACCTCTAATTCGCGTTGTTCTTCTCAATTTAATTCTTTTATTTTCGGTATTCAGAGTTGAAATTCCTTCAAGGAGACCTTGGTGTTTTTCAGCAAATCATAGCCGTTTATTGTCCTGATAGTTTTTCACTGGCTAATGTCTAAATGAGGGAAATTTTTCAGCAATTCGTCAGATACTTTAAATGTCAATCTAAGTAATTCTTGGTTAATTTCCGCACCGATTTTTTGTTTTTTCTGAAATTCCGTTCAATCTTTTTCTGACAATAT